ATGGCCAAAATGGCTTAAAAAGAATCAGTATTTCCCAAAAAAGTGTTAGAAATAGCTCAAGCCAGTTTAGAAATAGGTAAGAAAAGCTTAAACCAGACTAGAAACTTCCATAAATCGTTCACATTTAGCCAAAAATGGAATAAAATCTGCAAGAAAAAATGAGCAAAAATAAGGTAAGAATGACCAGCAATTGTTTAGAATTAGCCAAAAAAAACTTAAAAGGGTCAGAAAGAGCCAAAAATGGTTTAAACCAGGTTAGAAAAGGGCAAAAATGGTTTAGAAACAGAAAGAAATTGGTAAAAACAGGACAAAAATGGTTTGGAAATGGCCAAAATGACTTAAGAAGAGTTAGAATTCGGCAAAAAAGGGTTAGAAATAGCTCAAGCCAGTTTAGAAATAGGTAGGAAAAGGTTAAACCAGGCTGGAAATGGCAAGAAACAGTGCAGACTTAGTCAACAATGCATAAAATTATTAAGAAATAGGCAAAAATGAGAATGACCAGCAATTGTTTAGCAATAGCCAAAAAAGATTTAGAATGGGTTAGAAAGGGCCAAAAATGGGTTAAACCAAGTCAGGAAAGGGCAAACGCTGTGTTAGGAAAAGAAAAAAAATTGGTAAGAACAGGACAGAAATGGTTTGGGAATGGCCAAAATGACTTAAAAAGAGTCAGTATTGCACAAAAACAGGTTAGATATAGCTCAAGCCAGTTTAGAAATAAGTAAGAAAAGCTTAAACCAGGCTAGAAACTTCCATAAATAGTTCAGAAATTGCCAAAAATGGAATAAAACCTGCAAGAAATGGGCAAAAATAAGAGAAGAATGACCAGCAATTGCTTAGAAATAGCCAAAAAAGCCCTTAAAAGGGTCAGAAAGAGCCAAAAATGGTTTAAACCAAGTTAAGAAAGGGAAAAAATGGTTTAGAAACAGAAATCAATTGATAAGAACAGGACAAAAATGGTTTGGAAATGGCCAAAATGACTAAAATAGAGATAGAATTAGGCAAAAAAGGGTTAGAAATAGGCTAAACCAGTACAGAAATAGCTAAGAAAAGCGTAAACCAAACTAGACATGGCAAGAAACTGTTCAGACTTAGTCAAAATTGCCATAAAACGGGTAAGAAATTGGCAAAAATAAGATAAGAATGACCAGCAATTGTTTAGAAATAGCCAAAAAAGACTTAAAATGGGTTAGAAAGGGCCAAAAATGTTTTAAACCAAGGGAGGAAAGGGCAAAACCAGGTTAGAAATAGAAAGACATTGGCAAGACCTGGACAGAAAGGGTTTGGGAATGGCCAAAAGGGCTTAAAAAGAGTCAGTATTGCGCAAAAAAAGGGTTACATATAGCTCAAGCCAGCGTAGATATAGGTAAGAAAAACTTAAACCGGGCTAAAAACTTCCATAAATCGTTCAGAAATTGCCAAAAATGGAATAAAACCTGCAAGAAATGGCCAAAAATAAGACACGAATGAGCAGCAATTGCTTAAAAATAGCCAAAAAAAAGATTTAAAATGGGTTATAAAGAACCAAAAATGGTTTAAACCAAGTCAGGAAAGGGCAAAACCAGGTTAGAAATAGAAAGAAATTGGTAAAAACTGGACAGAAAGGGTTTGGGAATGGCCAAAACGGCTTAAAAAGAGGCAGTATTGTGCAAAAAGAGGGTTAGAAATAGCTCAAGCCAGTTTAGAAATAGCTAGGAAAAGCTTAAACCAGGCTAGAAACTTCCATAAATAGTTCAGATTTAGCCAAAAAAAGAATAAAACCTGCAAGAAATGGCCAAAAATAAGAATGACCAGCAATTGCTTAGAAATAGCCAAAAAAAGATTTGAAATGGGTTATAAAGAACCAAAAATGGTTTAAACCAAGTCAGGAAAGGGCCAAAACGGGTTAGAAATAGAAATAAATTGGTAAGAAATGTTGAAAAATGGATTGAAAATGGCCAAAATGGCTTAAAAAGAGTCAGTATTGTGCAAAAAAGGTGTTAGATATAGCTCAAGCCAGTTTAGAATATTCAGTTCAGTATAGTTTAGAATAGTTCAGAAATTGCCATAAAATGGCTTAAAACAGGCAAGAAATGGGCAAAAATCAGATAAGAATGACCAGCAATTGCTTAGAAATAGACAAAAAAGCCTTAAAATGGTAAGAAAGGGCCAAAAATGGTTTAAACCAAGTTTGGAAAGGGCAAAAGCTGTGTTAGGAACAGAAAAAAAATTGGTAAGAACTGGACAGAAAGGGTTTGGGAATGGCCAAAATGACTTAAAAAGTGTTAGAACTGGGCAAAAAAGGGTTAGAAATAGCTCAAGCCAGTTTAGAAATAGCTAAGAAAAGCTTAAACCAGGCTAGAAACTTCCATAAATAGTTCAGAAATTGCCATAAAATGGCTTAAAACTGGTAAGAAATGGGCAAAAATAAGATAAGAATGAGCAGCAATTGTTTAGAAATAGCCAAAAAAGACTTAAAATGGGATAGAAAGGGCCAAAAATGGTTTAAACCAAGGGAGGAAAGGGCAAAACCAGGTTAGAAATAGAAAGACATTAGTAAGACCTGGACAGAAAGGGTTTGGGAATGGCCAAAAGGGCTTAAAAAGAGTCAGTATTGCATAAAAAAAAGGATTAGACATAGCTCAAGCCAGCTCAGAAATAGGTAAGAAAAGCTTAAACCAGGCTAGAAACGTCCATAAATTGTTCAGAAATTGCCAAAAATGGAATAAAACCTGCAAGAAATGGGCAAAAATAAGACAAGAATGACCAGCAATTGCTTAGAAATAGCCAAAAAAAGATTTAAAATGGGTTAGAAAAAGCCAAAAATGGTTTAAACCAAGTCAGGAAAGGGCAAAAGCTGTGTTAGAAACAGAAAAAAAATTGGTAAGAACTGGACAGAAAGGGTTTGGGAATGGCCAAAATGACTTAAAAAGTGTTAGAACTGGGCAAAAAAGGGTTAGAAATAGCTCAAGCCATTTTAGAAATAGCTAAGAAAAGCTTAAACCAGGCTAGAAACTTCCATAAATAGTTCAGAAATTGCCATAAAATGGCTTAAAACCGGCAAGAAATGGGCAAAAATAAGATAAGAATGACCAGCACTTGTTTAGAAATAGCCGAAAAAGACCTAAAATGTGTTAGAAAAGCCAAAATGGTTTAAACCAAGTCAGGAAAGGGAAAAAGCTGTGTTAGGAACAGAAAAAAAATTGCTAAGAACTGCACAGAAATGGTTTGGGAATGGCCAAAATGACGTTAAAGAGTCAGTATTGTGCAAAAAATGGTTAGAAATAGCTCAAGCCAGTTTAGAAATTGGTGAGAAAAGCTTAAACCAGGCTAGAAATGCCCATAAAAAAGTGAAGCATTTAGTATTAAAATGGCATAAACCAGGAAGGAAATGGGCAAAAATAAGGTGAGAATGACCACCCATTCTTTAGAAATAGCCAAAAAGAAGTTAAAGTGCATCAGAAAGGTCCAAAAATGGGTTAAACCAAGTTAGGGAAGGCCAAAAAAAGGGGTAGAAAGAAATTGGTAAGTACAGGACAAGAACAGTTTGGAAATGGCCATAATGGCTTAAAAAGAGTTAGAATTGGGCCAAGAAATAGCTCAAGCCAGTTAAGAAATAGCTAAGAAAAGCTGAAACCAGGCTAGAAATGGCCATGAATTCTTTAGGAATTGCCAAAAATGGCTTAAAACTGGTAAGACATGGGCAAAACTAAGATAGAAATGGTCATCAACTCTTTAGAATTGGTAAAAAATGCTTCAAACAGGGGACAAGCAGGCAAGAATGGACTAGGAATAGCCAAAAAAAAAAGCTTAAAACTGGTAAGAAATGACCAAAATTAGGATACAAATGGCCATAATTTTTTTAGAAATATCCAGACTTAAAATGGGTTAGAAATTGGCAACACTGGGTTAGGAATGGCCAAAAATGGCTCAAACCGAGTCAGGAAAGAGCAAAAATTGGTTAGAAATGGCAAGAAATTAGTAAGAAATGGACAAAAAACGTTTGGAAAAGGTCAAAATGGTTCAAAAAGTTTAAGAATTGGGGAAAAAAGGGTTCGAAACAGCCTGAACCAGTTAAGAAATAGCTAGGAAAAGCTTAAAATAGCCTAGAAACTTCCATAAATAGTTCAGATTTAGCCAAAAATGGAATAAAACCTGCAACTCAATCATGTACCAAGGAAAGAGTCAGGGCATTTTCAGCTCTGTCTTGAACACTGCCAGCCATGGGGCAGCCACAGCTTCTCTGGGCACCCTGTGCCACTGTCCCACCACCCTCACAGGGAACAACTTCTAAGATCTCATCTCAATCTCCCCTCTCGGTCACGTTAAAATCGTTCCCCCTTGGCCCATCCCCACAGGCCCTTGCTCTCCCCACAAGAAATGAGGGCAGATCCCAGGATCATCCCTCGGAAGCCGCAGCGCTCCGCTGCCGGCTCAGCCAGCCCAACTCACACACCGAGTCCAAAGCAGCCACTCTGGGGAAGTCTCTTGAGGTGTTCTGGCAACTCCTACAGCACCCCAAGATCGCCATCGCCACCCACCTCCTTCCACGCTCCTGCGTCCACAGGCGGCACCGGCTCCGAGACACCAAGACGGGAACCACCAGAGGAGCTGCTCTTGCCTCCTCCACCGGTAGCTTGTGTTCCGTGGGGCAGCTGTCGTCTCCCGGCGCCTCTGCTGGAGGGTTCTGTGGGGTTCTGTGACCTCACACACCTGAACACGGGGAGTTCCAGAATCAGCCACCCCTGTGGTCTCCATGTCCCCAAGGTCATTGTGATGCAGGAGCTCTGACTGGGTCCATGGGGAGCTCTGGAGGTGCTGCAGGCATTCTCTGGGGGTATCCCCAGGATGCCCTGGGAGTGCACAGAGACACAGGGCCGTGGAGCAAGCTGCTCTAGTGGAAGGTCTCCCTGCCCGTGCCTTTGGGGGTTGGAGCTGGGTGAGCTTTAAGGTCCCTTCCAGCCCACTCTGGGATTCCATGATTCTCTGCTGTGCCAACGTCGGTCCCTCTCCACTCCTCGGAGGTGGCCGTGACGCCCTGTTCCATGGCCCACGTTGAGCTGTGACCCCTCGCATGCTCCACCTCCGGACCAAAGGCACTGAGGAAGAGCAGCCCGTGAGGGACCTCCCCGAGCCGGCTGGGCAGAGGCTGGTCCCGCCACAGCGACTCCCGGAGCACCCCTGGGTGCCCAGTGGCCATGGGCACGATGCTGCCGCCATCCCAAAGCCGTGGCGGTCGCTCTGGATTTGCCCATTGTGACGGGGCCCCCACGGTGAGCGTGGGCTCTTTAAGGAGGGAGAGCCCTGCAGTAACCGGTGCAGAGGAGAGCCCTCCCCTCCCTCGGGGCTTCATGTAACCAAAAACGGGGCTGAGGGAGGGTACCCAATGGACACAACCTCCCATCCCCCACCCGGGGGTGTGGGGGGGTGGCACCTCCCCCCCTCTTTATACCCCGGATGGGAGAGAGGAGGGTAAAGGGGGGGATGGGGGGGGGTCTATCCGAAGCCTTATTGACACCGATGTAAATAGCGTGGGGGGGTGGGGGGGGAGGGGAGAGGGGAGGGGTCACCTTAAGAATGTATAAAAAGGAAACTTAACCAATAAATAAAGATTTCACAGGAAATCGAGGCCCCCTCTCCCCCACGTGTTTCGGCCTTTCCCCATCCCCGTTCCGCGATGCTCTCCGCACTTCCGGGTTTGTTGCCTCTGTTGCCTAGCAACGGGGTCTCCGCGTACCGCTTCCTGCGTGTTGCCAGGCTACGGCCCATGGGGCTGAATATGGGGCCTTTCCTCGCCCCTCCCCCTCATTTGTCCCCTCCCCCACCGCATACCCATTTTCTCCCCTCCCCCCCTTATGCCCCCCATTCCCCCTCCCCCTTTTTCCCACCCCCATTCCCCACATTCCTGCCATTTCTCCCCCTCTCTCTCCATCCCTCCCCATTTCTCATCCCACCATCATTAACCCCCCCCTTAATTACCTGCAATTAGCGTAGGACCTGCTTTATTCACACGCAGTTCATGTAGGGCTGACCTTATTTACACGTTACTTCCTTATTTACATGTTATTAATGTAGGGCCTACTTAATTTGTGTCCTTTTAGTCCAGCATGCTCAGCGCTTCCAGCAGCCCCCGCCCTTCTCCCTAGGGTCTGAAAGCGGCGTGGCCAAAGGGGTGAGGACACGCCCCCCCCGCCCCTCCCTCGATCTCCCCGTCTTTGCTCACCTGGGCCTGCAGGGGGCGCAGCTGCGCCTGGAGCTTCCCATTGGATGCGGCCAGAGCCCGGAGCTGGATCCAGCGACGGGACTGGAAGGGGTGGAGGGGGGGACACAAGGAAATGAGGGACCCCAAAGCCATGGGAGGGACCCAAATACCCCCCAAGACCCCCAAACACCTTAAATATCGCCCCATATTTCCCCACAAGCCTCTCCCTTAACCCCAAACCCATCCATAACCCCCAGATCCCCCTCCCAGCACCCCCAAAATTCCCCCTAAAGCCCCAAACTCCCCCATGTCATCCCCTATAGACCCAAAATCCCCCTCCAGGACCCCCACATATCCCTCATCCCTCCCAAAAAGCGGCGCTGGGGCCCTTTAGGGACCCCAACCCCTCCCCATAACCATCAAATTCCACTTCCCACCCCCCCAAGCCCATCAGGACCCCCCCAAATCCCCACATTCCCCCGTTGGCACCCACCAGCCGCTGCTTCCCCTCCTGCAGCTGCCTCCTCAGTGGCCCCAGGGCAGTTTCTGGGGAGTCCATGGGGCTGCCCCGTAGCTCTGGGCCCTGCTGGATCTGGGCCCCCCGAGCCCCTGAGAGCCCCGTGGCCTCCAGCATCAACCTGGTGGCAAGGGGGGCACCAAAGCCAAACGTTGAGGGGAGTCTGGGGGGCCCAAAGGGGTCCAGATCCCATTTTGGGGACCCCAAAAGGGCTGCAGGGACCATGGAGGTTGGGGGGGGCACCCCGAAAGGTGTCAGTACTGGGTTTAGGGAGAGTGGGGGGGGGCTTTAAGGACCCCTATGAGCCCAGCACCCACTTCAGAAGGAAACCCAGGGGGGTTTAAAGTACAGAGGGGGTCCCTAAAGGGTTCTGGGGTTCAGGAGTGGGGAGGAAAAGATCATGGGGGAGGGCCCAGGGCAGTTTTGGGTTGCAAGGGGGGAAACCGGGCTGCAGGATGGATTCGGGGGGGTCCTTGAGAGGGTTTTGAGTGCATGGGGGAATCCATAGGGTGGTTTTGGGGTGCAGAGGGGTTGTTTTGGGGTGCACAGTGGGTGCTTTTGGGGTGCAGGGGGCTGTTTTGGGGTGCAGGGGGGCGGTTTTGGGGTGCCATGGGGCTTCTGGGATGCATGGGGGTGGTTTTAGGGTGCAGGGGGCATGGTTTTGGGGTGCGGGGGTGGCGTTTTGGGGTGCAGGGGGGATGGTTTTGGAGTGCAGAGGGGGTGTTTTCGGATGCAGGGGGGATGGTTTTGGGGTGCAGAGGTGTGTTTTGGTCCCTGTGGGATCCCCCAAAACCCCACAGAGCCCCCCCAAAACCCTCTAACGCTCCCCACCCCGCCCCCCAAACCTGAATCTCCTTGAGGTGCTGGTACCTGAGCCCCGAGTTAAGGAGGAAACCTGGGGGGGGTTAAAGGAAGGGTTAGGGGGGGGGTCGGGGAGGATCATGGGAGGGAACTGGGGGTTCCTGGGGATCCCAATGGGATTTGGAGGGGTCCTAAAGGAATTTGGGCTCCTCTGCATGGATCTGGGTGAAGAAAAGGGGTTGGGGGGGGGGGCCACAAGGGCGAATTGGGGGTGCTGGGGGGTTGTTGGGATCCCAATGGAATTTTGGGGGGGTCCTAACAAGCAAAGGGGTTTGGGGGGGTCCTGAGGGGTTTTGGAGGCTCCCCAATGAGCTTGGGTGTCCCCCCCCACTTTGGGGTGCAGCGGATACCACAGCAGGTTCCCTTTGATCTTCTTCACATTCCTACAGGAACACCCCCCCCCACCCGCCATGTATTTTAGGGACCGATCCGAGGTTTGGGGTCCCTCCAGATGTTGCAGTTCCTCCCCCCAGATGTTGGGGTGCCCCCCTCACCGCGGTGCCGCACGTGGCCCATGATGTACTCCCGGATGGGGGCACAGGGCCCCGTGCACAGCCTGGAGGTGGGGGGAGACAAAGAGAGGGGGTCAGGAGCACCCCAACCCCCCCAGGACCCCAAAAGCCCCCACTGGGGGGTCCCGCGGGCTCCAACCTGCGCAGGTCGGGATCGGAGGGGAGCTCCAGCTCCGCCATGATGGGCGAAATTGGCGGGAACCGGACGGGACCAAACTGGGGCGGGCGCGGGGGGGGAGGGGCCCGGGCCCGATCCTGGCCCCTGCGCGCCCTCCGCAGCCCCCTCCCCCCCCTCCGCGTCACGTGGTCATCACCCGGCACCGCCTCCTGCCCCACCCCCGCGGGCTCTTCGCCCTCCCGGTCACCTCGGGTCACGTGGGGAGGGGCCTCGGCACCCCCGCACTATAGGGGTGCCCCATAACTTTGAGGGGGGCACAGAGGGGGTGCCCCATAACTTGGGGGGCTCCATAGGGGACTTCCAGAGCCTGCCCCATACCTTGGGGGCCACAAAGGGGGTGCCCCATAACTTGGGGGAGGGCACAAACGGGGACCCCCAGACCCCGCCCCATAACTTGGGGGGCACAAAGGGGGCGCCCCATAACTTGGGGGTCCAGTGCTCGCCCCCCAACACCCCATAGCGCGGGTCCTGGCCGCCCGCTTGGGGGCGCTGTTGCACCGGGCCCCGGTGCTGCTACGGGAGCGGCGCCGCTCGGTGCTCGGTGCGCTGCTCCGTGGGGGGGGGGCACGGGGACCCGAACCCGGGAGCTCGGGGCTCGAACCGGCGGCCCCTGGAGCCTCAATGGGAGCCGCAACCGGATGTGCGGCGGGACCGGGGCATCCCCAGCCCCATCTTTGGATCCAGTGCGGAGCAGTGGGAAGTGAGTTGGGAATGGGGGTAACGGGTGGCAATGGGGGTAATGGGGGGGCAATGGGGTAACATGGGCAATGGGGGGCAATGGGGGTAGTGGGGGCATTGGGGGTAATGGGCAATGGGGGTAATGGGGAGGGCAAAGGGGGTAATGGGGGCCAATAGGGTCAATGGAGACAATGGTGGGCAATGGTGTCTCTCCCCCCCACCCCAGAGCCCCCCGTCCGGGAGCCCAGTTCTGCTCTTCCAGCCCCATGGAATTCCGTGTCCGCGCTCCCCCCTACAATCGGATCCGGACCTGGATCCGTGTCCATGTGTGGAGCATCCGGATCTGGATGCAGATCCCATAGGATCTGCTCCCAAGCACCAGGAGCTGTGATGCCAATGGGATCCCGTGCTCCCAGATGATCCAAGGCTCTGGAATGAGGCAGAGCTGCAGCACGAGCCGGTGCTTCGGGGTTGGCTTGGGCTGTTTTAGGGGTGGTTTTGTGTGTTTTGATGTGGTTTTTTCCTCTTTCTGGTGTGTTTTGGGGCTCTGAGCCTGTGTCCCACAGGAGAAGCAGGACAAGGTGGTTTTTTTGGTGGGTTTAGGGTGGTTTGGGGTTGTTTTGGGGGTGGTTTTGAATAGTTTTTGGTTGGTTTTGTGCTTTTTTGAGCCTGTTTTGGGGTTCTGAACTTGTTTCCCACAGGAGAAACAGGACAAGGTGATTTTGGGGTGTTTTTGGCCCATTTTGGGGGTTGTTTGGGGTGTTTTGGCCTGCTTTTCTCCTGTTTTTTCCTGTTTTGTGGCTCTGACCCTGAATGCCATTGGAGAAGCAGGACAAGGTGGTTTTGGGGTGTTTTGGGGGTGTTTTGGGGTTTGCTTTGGGTGTTTTGGCCTGGTTTTGGCCTGTTTTGGGTCTGTTTTGGGCCTCTTACCCTGTATCCCCTAGAAGCAGCAGGACAAGGTGGTTTTGGGGGGTTTTGGGTTGTTTTTGTCCTGTTTTGGTTTTTTTGGGGGGCTCTGACCCTGTATCCCATAGGTGAAGGAGGAGAAGGTGTTTTTGGGGTGGTTTGGGGTTGTTTTGGGGTTTGCTTTGGGTGTTTTGGCCTTGTTTTCGCCTGTTTTGGGCCTGTTTTGGGGCTATTTTGGGTCTGTTTTGGGGCTCTGACCCTGTGTCCCTTAGGTGAAGGAGGACAAGGGGGTTTTGGGGTGGTTTGGCATGTTTTGGGGTTTGCTTTGGGTGTTTTGGTCTGGTTTTCACCTGTTTTTGGTCTGTTTTGTGGCTATTTTGGGCCTCTTACCCTGTATCACGTAGGAGAAGCAGGACAAGGTGGTTTTGGGGTGTTTTGGGTTGTTTTTGTCCTGTTTTCGGGCTGTT